TGAAGGCATTTAAGATGTAGCGGGAAGGGGGGCGGAGAAAAGGCACATCTGTATCCAGACATTACAGCACACACACAGCGGCCAGGGAGGGCAGAGGGGAGAACGCCTTCACCAGAGAGTCAAATCACGCCACGAAAGATAGAAAGAGCCCCCTTCTCGGCTCCCACCATCTCCCAAACCCCCACTCGGAATTCAGGATGGTTTCCGTTTGTCACGTTGAGAATCTGTTCCCTGGAAAGGGAGCACTGAAGGCTGTGTTCCAAAGTTAGAAGCTGAGATATGGGTTCTCATTGCAAGACCAAATATTTTGGAAGTACCTTTCTCTGGAAGGGAAAGAACGCGTTTCACAGCTGGAAAGAGAAGTGAAAAACGAAGCTAGAGAGGCATGAAGGTAATATTTACTTGCTAGATTTACACAGTGCCTACCCTGAGAAAAGCCTGGCTGCAAATCCCATCTGTGCCCCTGACACAGGGCACCCGCTCTCAGTTACCGGGCTCCCTGTGAATTCCCTGGGTCACACTTTGCAATCATTTTACTGTCACTTTAAACTGCTCAGTCCCCTGCCCTGCCCCAGCTGACCCTCGGTCACCCCTTTGAGCATAGGATCATGGTACCAACACGTGTTTGGAGTCAGACCCTCCTGGGCTAAGTCCAGGCTCCGCAGTCTACCAGCTGGATGACTCTGGACACGTAAAATTTCTAAGTCTCGGTTTCCACATCTGTAAAATGGGGATAGTGATCACAACAGTAATACCAGCCTTATCCTTGTAATGAGGATTAAGGGAGATAACGGGGTAAAACACCTATCACAGCCCAGCACACTCAGCAGTGTTAGCTACTGTTGTTATTCCTGTAGTGCAGTGTGTAAAGGGGGGCAAACTGATTTTAATATTAGTTTACACTAACAGGTGCGCGGGTCTCTGAGACACAGGCCTATAATGCACCGTAAAGCTAAATGGAAGCGCTATTTGGATTTCCGTCATTTCTGATTTTCTCTCTTAGCTTGAAAATTGAGGATGAACACACCAGAATGGTAAAGAGGCCAGATTTCTCTAGACCACTGTTCACAGTAGAATGAAGATAACGGATAAAGCCTAATGCGTCTCACAGGGGCCTTTGCATTTTAAGCTGGGGCCCAAACCCTTGGCCAAAGGAATGGGGCTGGAGCAGTGCGGTTTCAGACATGCACGAGGTGCCGATGGAGGCATTTTGATGCAGGACTGAGATGCAGGCATCTCAGGTACTCACACACTCCTTCCACACATACTTATTAACTGCCTTCTGCTAGACGTTGTTCTGTACACTTGAGGTTTACACTTTGCAATGAATGAATAAGTAGACCCTACAGCATGTTAGACAGGGATTAAACGCCAATTAAAAAGTAGCGGAAGGGGAGATTGAGAGCGCTGGAGGGGCTGGTTGCGGGAGTGGTTCCAGGCCCTCCGCATATATCAAAGTCCGTGGGCTCTCAAGTCCCTTTTACAAAATAGTGTCGTTTGGTCCCCCCACCCCGCAACTCGCGGTTCTGTATCCGCGGTTCTGCATCCACGGCTTCGCAACCCGCGGATACTGAGGTCTAAATGTACTAAGTACGGTCGGTGGTCAGGGTGAACCTCGCTGAGAAAGTGAGATTTGAGCAGTCTTGAAGAAAGTGAGGGGTTCATCAGGTGGGTAGCTGAGGAGAGGGCTGCAGGCAGTAGGGACAGCTAGAGCAAAGGGCTCCAGGGGTGTGTGTGTGTGTGAGAGAGAGAGAGAGGGAGAGGTGTTCCTGGAGAGTCTGGGGTACTGCTAGGAGCTAGTGAGGCTGGAGCAGTGGGAGACCAGTAGGGGAGGCCATAAGAGCAGCTGTACCCGCTGTTTCTGTGGGTCCCTGGAGGCTGCTCTGAGGACCTGGCTTTTACTAAGTGAACTGGGGACCTCTGGGGGGTTTGCGCAGTGCGGTGCTGGGACAGGTCCCTTTAGATGCCATATTGAGAAGATACCAAAGTAGGGGAGGGAGGGTAGACGCGGGGCAGCAGTCTCTGCGGGAACTCAGGTGAGGGAACATGTCGGCTCAGACCTCGGGGTAGCAACAGGGGAACTGAGAAGTGGTCACATGCACGATTTTTCGGGATTTCCCGAAGGACCAGATGAGAGGATGAGAGAGAAAGGAGTCAAGAGCGACTCCAGGTTTTGGCCCCATCCGCTGAGATGGGGAGGCTGCTGAGGAGCAGGTTTTGCACAGAGAATAAGGAGTTCGGCGTTTGGAAACCTTAGGTTTGAGATGTCCGTCCGCCTCCGAGCAGAGACCGAGAGCGCTGGGTAGCCTGGCGTTCAGGAAGAGAGGTCTGGGCTGGACACACCGAGCTGGATGGGCTCCCCCGAGGGGGAGTGCGGATGGGGAGGGGGGGTCTGAGGGTAGGAAGGGGGGCGTTTTCCCAAGAGGGAGCTGTAGGCACCCCTGCCAGGGCTCAGGCAGCCTCGCTCTCAGGAGCCCGGACCTGCAGGGGGTGCCATGGACCTTCAGTGGCTGCCTGAGTGACTGGGAGGAAGGTTTGCTGCTCCGGGAAGGACAGGCGCTCAACAGATTCCCGCCGGAGTGGCAGAAATAATTAAGAGGAGAAGGTGAGGATATCCTGGTAGCACACGTGCTCGGCGGCCTCGGAGGAATTAAGAAAACCCGGGTCTATTAGTCTGCTCAGACATCTAGGCACCGCTGCCTCGCCAGGAGGCTCCGCCTCTCAGGCCCTCTCTCTCTGCCCCCGTCTCTCCGCATCCACGCCACTCGTGCAACCGCCCTGGTCGTAATCCACCAAACAGAGCCGTGGCGCCGCGGCTCCTTTTGCTGTTTCGCGCAGTGGCCCGATCCGCAGAGACTCTAGGTGGGCAGATGGCCCGGGGCCTGCTGGAGTTTGGCGCCAGAGGCCTCGCCGCCGAGGGGGCCGCGCAGGACGCGGGGGCCGGGGCGGGGCGCGAGGGGTGTGTCCGGGCGGCACGCGGGCCGAGGCGCGGGCGGCGGGGCGAGCGGGGGCTCGGGCCGGGCTCGAGTCGGCGCCGCGCGCCCCGCGCCGTGCGCCCCGCGCCGTGCGCCCGGCCCCGCGCGCCGCCGCCACATCTGGAAGCGTTCAGAGCGTCCGCCTGGGGCGCGCCGGGCGGGCGGGGCGGCGGGCCGCGGGGTGAGCGCCGCGCTTCGCGCTCCTGCCGGCGGCTCCCTCTCGCCGCCTCTGCAGAAACAGCTCCTGCCAGAGCGGCGCGCGGCGCGGCCCGGAGCGGCGGCGCCTTCCTGCCTCCTCGCCCTCGGGACTCGTCGGACCTTCGGGCAGAGAAAAGCGGAGCAGGGCCGGGGAGGACGCGCCGAGAGCGGGCGGAGACGGTTCAGGCCGGCGGCCGGCGGGCCTCTCCCGCCCTGGGGTCCGCGCTCCCCTCTCCCCTTCCGCCTCCTCTCGCTCTGCCTCCCCATTTATTTTTTCAAATGCTGTGGCCGCCAGAGGTGCGGCGCTGAATTCTTGGAAGGGGCCCGGATGTGCTGAGGATGCATTACAATTTCACTGAAGGAGGCAGTAGTGGAAAGGATCAGTTTTTGGTGTTTGATGCAATAATGGGAATCAGGTAATCATCAGAAGGGCAGAAGAGCGACTGCAGATCCACGGCTTCCTCGAATTTTGCACGAAAGCCGCCGGCCTCGGAGGAGGGATTAGTGCAGACCCGCTCGGGCGTGTTTGACATTTCTTCCTCTTTGTGGCTTCTCCTTTTCAAACAATTCTTGGTCCATGGTCAATGAAAACACGAGGATGTACATTCCGGAGGAAAACCACCAAGGTAAGGCTGGACCCCGCCGCCGCGCCCGCCGGCCTCGCCCGCGCGCCCCGCGGCCCCGGCCGTTCCCCGCCGCGCGTCCTTCTCCCTCAGCGGCCGGGGGCCCGCGAGACCCTGAACGAACCGCGCGGAGCCCGAGCGGAAAATCCCCACCCCTCCCCCGCCCGCGCCCGCGGCCCCCGAGCCGCGCGTCCGGAGAATTCCGGGCGAGGGGAAAAGTTCCCAAGTGTCTGCTCGGGCCTCGCTGGCTCGCGCTCGCCGGGAGAGCCCGACTACCCGGCCGGCGACGCCCCCGGCCCGGTGGGCCGGGGTCCTCGCCTCGCCCGGGCGCGGCTGGGCGTGCGCGCGCGCGCCCCGCACCAGGCCGGCCGGCGCCCCCGCCCGGGCAGCGCGCTCCAAGGGGGCGGCTTCGAGTCTTGGCGCCTCTCCCTTCCCCTCTCCCTCTCTCTCCCTCTCCCTGTGGACCGCCCCCCCCATCTCTCTCTTTCTCTCTCTCTCTCCCTGTGTCCCTCTTCTCCGGCTCACCTACACCCACCCACCTCTTTGCGGCCACTGACCCCCGCGCGCCTACGCCCCGTGTGTTCGTGTTCGCACCCGCATGTGGGCTAGCACCTGAGGATGTCAGCGTTTAGAATTCGGGCGGTGTGTGGGCTCTGCTTTTTCATGTTTTAAGGCAATAATAAAAGGGTGTGCCGAGCTCACGCGGCTGCACACTGTCGCCCAGTGTTTTCCCAGTATCTCCATCCTTGGCATCAAGTGTCAGCAGCTCCCCCTGAAAGAGGGAAAGGCTTTCAGGCAACTCCCCACTTCCTGGAAACTTTCTCCCTCACCGCCCCCCCCCCGCCGCCCGTATTAACAAGTTATTATTTTTTGGCACTGCTCGGCAATTAAGATTATGATGGAGCAGAGAGGGACGGTCTTGCTGGAGTGCGGCCGCCTCCAGCTCCGTCTCTGCCTTCCCCGTGGCTTCTTCTGCCTCTGGGTGCAGGCTCTCGTCTCCCCGTTTCCCAAGCCTCCCTGTTTACACTCTTCCTTCCAATCTCTTCCTTCTCCATACCTGTCGCTGTTGGTCCGGCTACTTCCTGGGCATATCAAGGGCTTCTCTGAGGACAGCCTGGTGGAGGGGTTGTCTCCATCCCTCCCTCTCCTTTCCAGCCTCCTCCCTCCTTAGGCCCCCAGCCCCACCGCTAGCAGGCAGAGCCCCCACCCTTTAGAGCCAGAGGCTGCCAAGCAGCTTCCCTGGTCTCCGTCCAACCTGAAACTCATCTCCAGCTTGGGCAGCAGTGGGGGAATTTGGGCCTCTTTTAGTGGAAGGATTGTGTCAAGGGTCGTGGGTTCTAGGGTGAGCCAGGGCTTTGGGGTCACAAGGGAAGCTCTGTCCGTGGATTTCTCTACGCCGTGCCCCACCCCTACCTGTTCCCCTGTCCCCTTCCTGATGGAGTCGTGGGTGGATTCGGAGGGAGGCCAGGAGGGACACAAAAGAAACGGTGATGTTTGTGAAGAGCAGGGGTGACTTTCTCCCCTCCAGGCTCCCAGCTCAGTCCAGGCGGCCTTGAGGGGAGAGCCCAGTGGCCACGTCCTTGCTGTCCCTGACAATGGCAGTGGCCTGTGGGCATGATTATTATTCACGTGGTGATAATCCTCAACAAATCCTGAACAGTCCACGAGGCCTCTTCTCCATGCAGGACAAACCCTTTCTGGCCCTTTCCTTCCTTCCTTTTGCCCCTTGGTGTCCCAGCGCGCCCTCCCCACCCGTGTGCAGGGAGCAGACACTCAAAGTAGGAGCCGCGGCCCCGCGAGGTCTGTGGGGAAGATGGAGGGGCCGGCAGCAGGGAGTGTGGCCGGGCGCCGCCTTCCCAGCCACACGCCACAAACACTATGGCAACCTGGATCCCATTTCTCTCCCTTGAAGCCGCAGTGATTATATAATTCACAGAGCAGTTTTGCCTACTTTCCTGGATGCGGTTCTCAGGTGTAAGAGCCCCAGGATCCCTGCCTCCCCTCCATCTCCCCACCCTGTCGTTGGCATGGCTGGGGTCTTCCTGGGGCAGGAGGGGAGGAGGGTGACGGAGGTGGGTGCGCAGACCTGGAGAAGCAGGGACGTCTGCCGGAAAGGGGTTGCTGTGGCTTCATAACTAACGGGGCGATGAAACGTACCCAGGGGTAGGGTTTCAGGAGCAGAGAGGGAAGAGGGAGCATTGCGCCGGGTGGTGACGGCGGAGTGCAAGGCTGGAGAAGTTGCCCGGGGCGGGGGTTACATCTTCCTCTTCCCAACAGACTCGAGTAGCTCAATGCAAGGCCTTTTGCCCCAGTTTTGCAGTGGTGTGTGTGTGTGTGTGTGTGTGTTGGGGGTCGGGGTGTGGACACGGGGGTCAGCACGTTGGAACAGCCCGCAGGTTCCCTGAGGGCTGGCCCCCCACCCTGGGTTCAGGCAGCGAGGGGCTCGTGAGCCTCCCCTCACCTCCAGCGCCCCATCTGCTCTGGTCCCACACCAGCCTCCCACTTTTCAGGGCTGATTTTCCATTGCAGCCTCCAGCTAGCAAATGAGTTTCTTAATAGTCAACCATTTAACAAATAAAACATCAGAACGTCCCTTATCTGCTGGAGACAAGGCAGAGGGGGAAGCGCGTTCTGGGAGTGGAAGACACATTGTGCTTTTCTTTTCAGAGCACTGCTTAGCGATGCAGCAGAACGGTTATTATCATCATAGGAAAGTAATAATAGTCATGATCAGTGGTCAGAGAGCGCTGTTAATGCACCTCAGCTTGCACAGGTTGAAGAAGGCACGACATTAGCTGCTTCTTCTTGGATTCTGCATGGAGGAACCCAGAGAAAAAGGGCTCTTGGGGTTCCAGATACTGTTCCTAATACTATTCACATACTTTCCAGGGTATCAGAGTACTATACAATAGAATATATTACAAGAATCAATTGTTCCTTATTTCCATGGAGCACATGCTAACAGTATTTAAATGTGCACACACACACACTGAATAAGGAAAAGCTATTTTAAATAGATTGCACAAGAGCCTAGAGCCCTTTGGGGACCTGGTGCGTAGCAGACAGGAATACTGGTGATGCAGCCCTGACACCGTTTCACATTGGTGCCTCGCCTTGGGTGAATGGTTCTCTACAGGTAGATGCTACAGGTACAGTAGATGGTGAGCCGTTGGCCCCTGAGTCTCGGGGATGACTTGGGACTCTTCCTTCTGTTTTCTCTGTGATTTAAAACTGCCCGAGGTGGGTTCTTCTGGGTGTAAGACAGATGCAAAAGGAGACGCAGGGACGTCCTGGGTGGGGGTCTGAGGCCCTGCTGGTCTTTGCATCCGCACCTCCTAGCACGGGCCTTGACGCTTGACGGATGAATGCAGCCCCCAGACCAGAGGGGGTGTGCTTTCTGCCTCTTCCAGGAGGTGGCGCCCCAGGGCTTGGGAGTCAGGAGGGGCACCTGCGGGGCTGGGCAAGGTGGCCGAGGCTCCGCAGGGCACTTCTTGCGGCTGTGCCTCGGTCTGCGTGCCTGCCCCAGGGCGGAGGCCTCCGAAGACCAGAGTGCCCGCCGCACGCACACCAGGGGCCCCCAGCACGACCTGCCCTCGCCGACCTCTCACCCTCTCTCCGGTAACGAACCCACTTTGGATTTCGCCCTCCTGCCGCAGCCTCGCCTTGATCTCTAGCACAGGCAGCATCTTGCTTGCCTGAACCCGTTACGGCCCTATATTAACTTCCTCCCCGTATTAATTTTCTCACCAGGGCTTGGTAACCAGAGGGGCCCGGGGGTCCCAGGCCCAGCCTGGGGCCAACCTGGAGTGTGGGAGCTGGAAAGCCTGGCCGGTAGGGTTGCAGAGCTTGTCAGCTCAAAGGCAAGGAGACATTTTCCTAACTTTATTAGGGGAAAAACACAACAACTGGGTACACGTCACAGCTGTTTACGAATCTGGCTGGTCCCATGCTGGGTAATGGCAGCAGAGCTCCCGAGACCTGGGTTAGGAAGTAACTGAGATTTGTTCTAACTTTCAGTGCTGTGTTCCAGCTCCCGGGGTTTTCTTTTCTATCCCTTTCTTCGCTCAGCTTTCTCGGTTGTTGTAGCGAGTTCCTGGGTCCGAGAGCCCTGGCCGCGGAGGAGCTGAGAACGTGCGGGCGTGGCTGGAGCACCCTCGTCCTGTCCCTGGGAACCTCCTGCTGGGGTCTGCCATGTGGTGGTGACCAGTCGGCCAGTAGCATCCCACTGGTCCCCGTGGGGACTCTGGAATCTGCGCTCTGCATTCGAAATCGGTAGATGGCTTTATTTTCCAGGGTGGACTAAAGAAAGCTGATGGCTTGTTTGGGAAACACCTGGAGACTTAACAACCGCACTCCTTGCGAGATAATCGCACTGACTTAGCCTCCTCCTAGGCTCTGTCCCCACGGTCGCCTCAGTTGACGGTGGGCTGTGCAGAGGAGGGCAGAGGACTGATTTAAAACAACAAAGGCGCGGGGGATTGTGCAAAATATCATGTGGTGAATATTTGACGACATAAGTGCTAAACGCTCTGGTAATGAGACAACGCTGCCAGCCACGGCTGTCATTATTGAAATAATTTAGTAAACACCTGTTTACATGAACCTCAAGGCTAGGTACTGTACAAAACAAGTAAAAATGACAGGATGCCCCTGGGAAAACGGAGGCCCTTCAGCGCTGTTTCGGAGCCGGGACGCAGGGACTACCCCGCATCCCTGGGGGGGACACAGAATGGGGGCTGACGTGACTCCTGTGTGTGTGGCTCGCGTCCCAGATGGGGTGCCCATTGCTTAAGGCCAGGCCTTGACCTGGGGCCCCGGGGGCCTCGCTGCCTACTTGCCACGGGCAGGGGACCCGGGAGGCACAGCTGTGAGCGGGCCTCAGGGGCTGCAGGAGGAGACCCAGCTTCCTGGGGTATCTGGGGGAGCATGGGGCACACAGCCGCTACTTGTGGAACTGAGTTAATCTAAGTGGGGATCCACGGGACAGAGGAGGGCAGTTTGGGCCCGCAGGTCAGGAGGGAAACAGAGGTTGAAAATAGGCCCTCACTTCCCCGGAGATGCTGGGGATTTGGCATTGGGCAGAGGTGAGGCAGAGGGGGCTAACTGGCCAGAGCTCGAAATCCCATGGTCCCTTCCCCCGGGCCCCAGCCAGGCTGCCACCGCACGGCCGCTTCACTGTGGTGCTCAGGTGCTGTACCGTGTGTGTGTGTGTGTGTGTGTGTGTGTGTGTGTGTGTGTGTGTGTGTGTGTAAGAGAGAGAGAGAGAGAGAGAGAGAGAGAGACGGGGCAAGGAGGGGGCGGTTCCACACTCACGTTCTCTGAAGCGTTGTCAGGCAGACCTAGAATAAATGCGTCTCTTCGGGAATTTACTCTCTAGGATCAGGAGGTTTTATGGGCAAAGGAACCTGAGGAACAAACTCCGTTTCCAGTTGAGAAGACAGGCTCCTGCAGGGTCACCCAGGAGGGGCGGGACTGGAACCCGGCCTTGGTTCTCCACCCTCCTGCCACCTCCTGACCGTGCATGGTGCACGCTGGTGCTCTGAACGCATCGATGGGTGTTTCTGGGTAGCCTTTGCCTGGTAACCCTCTTACCCTCCCCGCCAGCCTCCTCTGCTGACGCCGCCTTTGTTCTGGCCGAAGTCATGTCTGAGGTGTTAGGTTTGGAAACAGAGCTGGGGGCTGCTTTTCACTGGGAAGGTTGAAGCGTCATCTTAGACAACAGGGTAAAGGTTCATACGTGTCCACAGGAAACCCCTGCAAAACTCAGATCACTGCTCTGTCTGCGAACGGATGTGCCTCCAGGCCTTTTTATTTGCTCACTTCCTTTCTGCCCCAGTCAGGGCTCATTTCGGCCCCTGAGGGAGAGGCCAGGCTGGGCTGTCGGGCTGCCTTGGCGAGGGGTTGGGGGCTGTTTGTGGACCGGCCGACTTTGCTGTGCGTAGAAACCACAGGGCGGGTGGACGTGCAGGTGAACTGCAGGTAGAACAGGTAGAAAGCCCGGGGCGGCCAGGCTGCCGCGGCCAGAGGCCAGGCTGCCCCCGAGTCTACCAAGGTGTGGGAACAAAGGCTCCCCTGCTCCTTTGTGTGGGCTGGTCCCCTAGGACCCCTCCTCTTCCCGGGAGCTATTTAGGTAAGGAGAGGTCTAAATTCAGCATGGGAAAGGGATCATCTGGGGCCTCCTTCCGACGTTCCCACCATCCCCAAGCCTTTGGCATCTGACCTGATGCTCCCAGAGACCGGAAGGCCTGTGAGGCTGACCTGGTCTCTAGCTTTAAGACAGGGCCTGAGCCCGAGTCACTCTCAGAGGTGTAGCCTCTGAGATCCCTGGAGGAAGCCACCATCGCAGAACACAGTATTGCCATAATTTCATGAAATATTCAAGCTGCCCATTTGCCAACAGGGGTTTCTTTTAATACACTCGGCTACGCGTGGTGCTGCCCGCTGGAAACTAGCTGAAGGGAAAATAAAATAATCTTGTCTCCTGTCTTTTAGAGAAGCAAGCCAAAATCCAGACAGTAAACGAGTGTTCTTTCCCGTATTGCCTGTGGGCAGAAATGTTGAGAAATGTTGACTTGATTACTCAATTAAGCTCTATTTACTTTGTAACCATTGTGTCATGTTCAGTCATTTATATATTTTTCTCCTTCCAAAATAAGCCATGTTGGGCTAAAACCTTTCAAAGGTGTTAGTTAGCAAAAGTAAAGAAAGGAAAGAAAGAAAGAAAGAAAAAAATAAACAAGGCCACACTAGAAAATGATGTGGGTCACAGTCTTTGACTCTCTCTGAGAGTTTTGAAGGAATCAGGTCTCCTATTTTTCATCTGTAGAATGGAGACAGTAATCCTTAGCCAGTTGGCTTTGGCTTTGCAGGGCAGCCGCGAGGCTCCGAATGGGAGGGTGAGTGTAAATCACTGCATGGTGGCAGCTGTTCTTAGCTCTTCTTGAGTCAGCGGGATCCCAGGACTGTGGGACCAACCTGAGGGTCAGGACCCCGGGAGGCAGGGCTTCCTCACGGCCTTGGCACGTGGTCCCTGCCTGCAGCCTGAGGCCTGGCGTTCTGCCTTCTGAACTGGCCAGAAGTCCTCTGCTGGTGCACACATGCAAAGATAGGGCCACTGAGAGCAGGACGCAGCCTGGCGGGCCACTCAGTCTGTCCTCACTTTCCAACATGAATTCCCCAAACCTAAACGTCACTCCTCGGTACGGGAGGACAGGCTGCCTGGCAAATAGAACTTCGCTTCAAATGTAAACCTTGGCTTTGGAAAATAAACTACTTTTTAAAGGTATACAGCAAAAGTGCTGGTAGTTTGTAGGTAAAGGGAGGGAGCAGTTCCATCCGGCATCTTAAGACACCAAGCAAAATAGGAAAGGGCTTTAATGTCACATCTTAAATGACAGACTAGCAAAACAGAAGCAAAAACAATCTCATCGTCAAAAAGCATGCTGGGAGGGCTTCCCTGGTGGCGCAGTGGTTGAGAGTCCACCTGCCGATGCAGGGGACTCGGGTTCGTGCCCCGGTCCGGGAAGATCCCACATGCCGCGGAGCGGCTGGGCCCGTGAGCCATGGCTGCTGAGCCTGCGCATCCGGAGCCTGTGCTCCGCAACGGCAGAGGCCACAGCAGTGAGAGGCCCGCGTACCGCAAAAACAAAACAAAACAAAACAAAACAAAAAGTGTGCTGGGAAACGTGCGTTTCACTTTGCACCTTGCTCCCCTCGACACCCACCTCCCAGCCTCTGGGCCTGTGACCTACGGGGCCGTCCACATTTTTATTTTTATTTTAAAAATAATCTGTATTGCAGTGCAGCATCCATCGTTTTGTATTTGTAGACTGGGCAGAAGCGGTAGCTGCCATGTACCGGACATCAGCGTGCCCAGCGTTGCGTCCTACGCCCATCCTATGGGTGGGTATTAATGACATGTTTCAGATGAGGAAACCAAGGACCAGTGGTCTTGAGTAACGTGGCCAAGGTCATCCAGACGCTGTTGGAGACGGGAATTAAGTTCAGGTCTGTTGGACTTTCCAAGCATGTGCTGTCTCACTTCTCTCTCCACGTGGGGCTGAGGAAAGATGACCTTGAGCCAGCCTGGCAGAGCCTGGCTTGGATTTGCTCTGTGAAAGCTCCGGCTTCCGCTGGTCACTGTGGTGGACAAGTAGCCGAACGCTCCTTCTTCTCTGTGGTCACTCCACACGCCTCCCCTCCCACTTCCTCCTTTAGCTGTGCGTTCCCGAGGTTCCTGCCTGGACCCTGCTTTGTCCTCAGATCCCAGTGGGGACCTCCATCTGCGCTGGTGGAGGGGCAGCATGGCCAGGAGGTAGCTGGTGAGGGGGCTCTGTCTCCAGCCCGGGGGCTGCCTGGGGGGAAAGCCGGGCCCAGGGCTGTTGCCTACTCCTCACACAGCTGCAGTCTAGGCGAAGGAGGGAAAGGTGTGTGAAGAACAGGGGACACCCGGGGAGGGAGTCAGGAAATCGGGAGGAGGGGAAGGCGACAGTAACACTTGGTGGCCCCTTGGGGAGATGGAGGGCCAATTAGTGACTCAGGAAACCCTTTCAAACTGGGGATGACTATTTCTTCCAAATATTGTTTTGTCTGAAAGTAATAACATCATTTTACTTTCT